GCTATTTATACACATTATTCTATTTAGTCCAAATTATTTTTAAAATTTAAAAAATTTTTCATCTATTTTTATTTAAGAAATGTATAACATATTAATTTTTATTTAATAGTAAAATCATCAAAAAGAGCGAAAGAAAGACAGACTGACAGAGAGAAAGAGAGAGAGGGGGAGTGAGAGAGAGAGATTTATAAATATAAAAATAGAATATTAGGATATCAAAAACATTCAACGTGAATAATTATGTAGAAAGAAACTATGCTGGTAAAAATCACTTTTTATCTCTTGTCTTTTGTCAGCATCTTAGTTAATACAAAATATTAAAAATTATAAAGTATATATTATAAAGTAAAAAATGTAAAATATATTCTTCGTTATGCAGTACCGATATAATTACGATGTCACATCAAATGACTTATGCCACTAAATTGCTGATGGTTTTGAAAAAATCAATGTAAGAAATTATTTTATATTAACAAGGAAAGAATTATCGCCTATAACGGTCAAAGCTAGATCAAAGTGCTTATTATAAATATGTGTGAATTTTTATATATACTACATATGTAGTCCCCCCATAATTGCGCGCTGATACAATCAGACATATAACGCATAAATACTACAGTAGTATTATAATATCACCGATAAATACTTGATTAATTACAAATAAATATAAAGATGTTAATTTAAAATTCCGTAAATAATTGGATCTTATTAATTTTAATATATTGTTTGACCGTTATAGGCGATAATTCTTTCCTTGTTTGTTTGACAATTTACGGTCGGTACAAAAATTATTTAATATTTATTTAATATTAATTCCGCGACAAAATACTAATTGAGTTTTAGTTTATTTCAAGTAATATAACGTCAAACTATTTCATACTAATATACAGGGTTCGATCCTATTTAAAAAAACAAAGTTATTTAAAAAATACATATTCTTACTAAAAGAGATTAAAGGATTATTTAAACTTTATTATTGTAAGTTTCCAAAACTTATTTTATAATTTCTCTATTTTAAATAAGTCGTATCAGTCAGCGGTCGGTCGGTATTTAAAACGATTTTATTTAAAATGTGTATTTAAATTCTCTCTTTTCCTCCCTCCTTGTCTCTCTCTCTCTCTCTCTCTCTCTCCTCTCTCTCTCTCTGTGTGTGTGTGTGTTTGAATTATTTAAATAAAAAGATTGAGCAGTTATTTAATATTATTTATTATTTTAAAATAAAAAAATTTTCTGACTTATTTGTAATTTAATATTTTGAGTTTTTGAAATCTTAGGAACAACGTTTCATATTATTTAATATTTATTACAAATACGTTTCAAAAAGAAATGACCAGTAGAGCTAAGGTACAGAGCTATACCTATATCTACACGAGCCATGGTGAGGTGAGCGGTGACTGTTCGCTCTTCACCCGTGTGAAGCTGGCCTCCCAATATTAAAAAATCAATTCTTTTCTTCATGCATTTGTTTGCTCATCGTTTATTCACGAATGCTCAGTTCGAATTTTCGTTTGCGCATCCTTAGTTCAAAAAATATACGAAAATTATGTTTTGGGGGACCAACTTTACACTAGCTCCTCAATATTAAAAAATCGATTTTTTTCTTCATGTATTCGTTTGTTCATCGTTTGTTCACGAATGCTCAGTTGGAATTTTCGTTTGCTCACCCTTAGTTCAAAACATTTATGAGCAAACTAACGATGAGCAAACGAATGCATGAAGAAAAATATCTTTTTTTAATTCGCGATACCAGAACTTAATTTTCTTGTATCTTTTAAATTAAGGGTGAGCAAACGACAATCGATTGATTGTCTGTCTTTATCTGTCTAATCTAACGGATCGATAATCATGGACTTAGGAAAGATTCGAACCAAAAAATCATGGACATTACCGACACGATCGTGGACATTGGCTACATAGTTCATTGTCCACGTTCTGTGGACATAGAGGCGCTTCAAAATAAAGTTGCAGGTTGCAGCTAAAATCCCGGGCATGGCCGCTCTCAGGCTTCTCTCTGCCGTTCACAAATAATTATGATCTATGTCCATGTGCGACATAACAATGCTTTTTTGTGACTAGCGGTCGCGCTAGGTCGCCGACTGATGACGCTAGTTGCGAATTTGCGATGTCGTAAATCGTCTCTGAAGTCTGAAAAGGCATCTTTGTGTGTCTGTTGATAATTATGGCAGCCGGTCCAATTGCGGAGCGTAATCAAGGTACGTCCCGATCTTTTAGTTTAAATAATTTAGCTTCAATAACTTTTATATAATCTCTTCTTTCAAAAAGAATATATGATAAGAGTTAAACTTTGATTATATTTATCTTACTGTTACGTTAAAAATTAGATTAGTTATTTGATATTGAAGTTAACCTAAAAAATTAATGTCATTGAGTTGTTATAAATTTTATGTTATGGAATAAACCTAGTTAGAGGATTTATGACACACGAATATATATGCATATTTAAATACATGGTAAATTAATTTTTATATTTATTATATTTTTGATATGAAAATTTGTATAGATGCAACAATATACGTTGGAGGTTTGGATGACAAGGTTACAGAATCCCTTATGTGGGAATTATTTGTTCAATCAGGTCCTGTTGGTAAGTATATATGTGTTACTCATTATGATGTATTATATATATAAATTTGACTATTTTTTTAATATATGATGGTAACTAACAATTAAGTGATATGGTATTGTAGATTTGACTACGTACATATAATAACTTATATTTTCTTAAAAATACATTTATTTGATATATATACATGTGTTTATGCATGAAACAAACACTTGGTTTAATTATTCAAAAGTGAAAATGGATGTTTGTATGATGTAATTAAGTTTTTAAGTTTTAAACACAAATTCAAATGTACGTAAAATATACATAATTTCTTTCCAGTTAATGTACACATGCCAAAAGATAGAGTAACCCAAATGCATCAAGGATATGGTTTCGTTGAATTTATGGGAGAAGAAGATGCAGATTACGCTATTAAAATCATGAATATGATCAAACTGTATGGCAAACCTATTCGTGTAAACAAAGCTAGTGCACATCAAAAGAATTTGGATGTTGGAGCAAATATATTTATAGGAAATCTCGATCCAGAAGTAGATGAAAAATTGTTGTATGACACATTCAGTGCATTTGGCGTGATTTTGCAAACACCAAAAGTACGTTTAATCTATTTTATTACAATTAATTGTTTTTTAACTGACTTTAGTTAACAGATTTTTTCTTTGACTGCCATATTGATGTTACGAAACAATTTTACATTACAGATAATGAGGGATCCTGAGACAGGTAATTCAAAAGGATTTGCCTTCATTAATTTTGCTTCTTTTGATGCCTCAGATGCCAGCATTGAGGCAATGAATGGTCAGTATCTGTGCAATCGGCCAATTTCGGTGTCTTATGCTTTTAAACGTGATGCCAAAGGCGAGAGGCACGGTAGTGCTGCCGAAAGACTTCTAGCAGCTCAAAATCCTCTGAGTCAAGCGGACAGACCGCATCAATTATTTGCGGATGCGCCTCCTTTGGCGCCGCCACCTATGCCAAATTCAAACGCGAATGCCCATCAACCTCCTCATCATCCTCAGCATCACGTGATGCATCACGGAATGGTCGTACCACCGCCGCCACCACCGTCTACTCCTGGACCACCGATGGGTCATCCACCTCCGCCACCTGTCCCACCGCCACCGTCTGGTGGATTCCCACCAGCGAACATCCCTCCGCCTCCTCTGCCTCCGATGTCCATGGCAGCGCATCCTCCTCTACCACCTGGTATGCCACCGCCATTGCCGCCCATGCCGGTGCCGACTTCTCAGGGGCAGTCAGCTTCCAGGATGATGGCACCACCACCACCACATTGGGCCGTCGGAGGACCGCCACAGGGACAATTTCCGCCGCCTCCGCCACCATCTTCCGGCGGTGGACCTCCTCAATTCGGGCAATATCAGCCTTCGCCGCCAAGACCACCTCCAGCTTGGCGGCATCCGCCACCACCGCCCGTTTCGCAAGGTGGTCCACCACCGCCACCACCACCCCAATTCCGACCACCCTTCCCACCAAGAGGACCACCGCCACCACCACCGCCACATGATGGCAACCAATATTAATATTCGTGACTTATATACATTGTGTGCACAAATAATAAACGATTCAATTTTATTTTATAATTATTGTCAACAAATATGTATTATGAATCGAGAGATGTATGACACATTGATTGAAAAATCGGCTTTTTTACGAAATTGATTTCTTCATTGTTTCTAAATAAACTTTCGTGCTGTAGCGATTAGCGCAGTAAAAAATTAAGTAATTGCAGTAATATTTAATATCTTATCCAATTAACTATGTATAATTAATGGACATTAATGGGAGCATAATGTGCCAATTATAATGTGCATTTTATTCGGTCACTTATCGATCGATTAAGCTTTGACGCTGAATAACGTACATACATACGTACCGCGCTTGTTCTATCGATTATTTTGTACCTGTTCAGTCCAGTCAACGATAGTCTAACATCAAGTCTACTGTCGGATACCCTATTATGTTTCGCGTAATTTCTTTTTCTATAAGATTGAACAAGTGATCACTTTCTGTGAGGATAAGTTACTGAGAAAATTTGTATGCGATATACATCGCGCGTCTCATAATATTAATTTAGTAGGTGTAAAACACTGTATTAACGCAAGACAGAGCCATTAAAATAATTCTGTGACTTTTTTTTTAGAATGTTTACAATCGCAACACAACTTTATCGGTCTATTGTCGCGCATCCGCTGCGTCAAACGTAAATGTAATTATGGTCGAACACTCTGTGTTGCGGAATCCTGAGCAGTGAGCAGCCGCGAGTAAGATCGAGCGATAAATTTTTAATCATCTTGCATGCTACAGTAAGGAAAACTGCTAATGTCGAGAGATAGATATGGCACTGGCTCTTTCACGAACATAGAGTCAGCTTCGAACTTGGAAACAACAGCAGTGACACTGATGCGTTCAAGTCATATGCATGCACAGCCGAGTATATCGTCCGCATGATCCACATCGCTGCTACAATTTGCAGCGTCGTTCCGTAGTGCAACGGCGAGCACCACGTCATCTTTTGGAAGCCTGGTACTTTTGGCTAGGCAGTGCTTTACTCGTTGCTTCTGTCATTTCTGCGGTGAGCATACCTGTGAAATGCATTGAGCTTGTTTGGTGTATCCACGAGTATCCGATGTCGAAACTTTTTAAGTAGAAAATTCGAAAATAGTATATATCTTTAATATCGCTATCTTTTTATCGACAAGACGATACATGTTCTATAAATTCTTCATCGTTTATTATTTAAGCGCGTTGTGCAAACAAAAATTCTTATTTTGAAACCTGATAAGCGCGGTATATGTAGTTTGATAATCATAAACCTATAATAATATTTAAGATATTCCACCTACACATATCAACGCTAACAGACAAAATGCTCAGGAATTCAATCAGCCGAGAGCTAATCAAAACCAGATATCTATAATAGTTCCCTCAACGTTTTCGTCGCAGAGAAAGATGCTGGTAATTGGTGCGCAGCCGAGCTTCACGCACATGAGTAAGAGAACATTGTCCTCTTCGTTTTACATTCATTGCTGATTCGTATGCACGTCTGAAAAGACTCTTCGCTTACGATTGACATTGGAAAAAATGAAACAATCGATGCTGAACAAGAGTTGCAAAATATAATGAAAAATATGCTTGTCACGTAAATTAGTCAACTATTCGCCCTGTTAAAATCTTTTTTTTTTTTTTTAACGGATCGATGAAAATTGTATAGTATAGTACTGATCTCTCGTGCATTTCTATATGCATCAATAAAATATTGATTTGTATTTCAGCACCAGTCGTTGCGTAACAAAGCGTCGATTCGTCGCAGACTCGTTACGTGCCAGTGCTCAGTGTTCTCGAAACTTGATCAGGACATATACATCATCAGATATCTCATCATTTACCGGCAATTACCGTGGTAAAAAAAAAAGTATTTTTTACGGCGTAAAAAAAGTGCTGTCGCCTTTTACTTTTCACTTTATAATTGTATCGTGTGTGTAACAACCGCTAGTTTGTAATACTTTATCGTAATACAAACATGAAGAATTTCTGATAAATGAAATAAAGAATCTTATTTTCGAAAGATGAATCCTTGATGTATAATTACATGAGAGTTCAATAAATATAAAAATTTGCGAAACAGATTTAAAATTATCCAGTCAGACAAATCTTATTACGTAAAAGATAAGATAGCATTTGACAGTATATTTCAATGACAGTAATTAAAATTTATTTATAATTTTACACGAATATGTTACATGTATTTTTACATAGGTATAAGAATGATGAATTATCTAAAAATAATGTAACAATATAAAAAACGCACGTAAAATTTAAGTAGCTAGAATTATTTTTCGAGACGACTATTATAACCGAGTCGTAAAATTATCTTTTCCATTAGCTTCTTTAACGAAAGTATCGCGAGGTTTCAACCGGCTTGCTCGCGTCGACGATAATTCACCGATTAAATTCACGCAGGATGTAACGCTGTGTGCGACGCGTAGTTTGTACGTCCGTGTGTGAAAGTACCCGGCGACCTTTCTTGAAGCCATTACGAGAGGATTACAGACTGCGGTCCGCGCTCTGATTACGTCTCGCGATGATTCTGCGTCGGTTTTCCGAACAATCGGTTTCGGAACGACTTAATCGTTCGATCGATGCCGGTATATTCTTTGGAACGACATTTCACACAGAGTGCAATCGATGTGGCGTATGCGGCGGCGATAAGCAGAGGATAACAACGTACTATACAGCTTCGCCTCTTGATTCTCTCACGCGCGGCTTGCAAACCTGCTCGAAACTCGTTTTTCGCGCTTGACGGGCACAATTCTCGTCGTCGACAATTAAGAGGACATGCTCGTGTCTGTCGGATCTAAACGAGAATGAGAACGAAAGAGTGCGTGCAGCGAGGCCAATTAAAAGAGACAATCCAGCGATAATTCTCCGTTTCTTTCGAGTCTCCTCCGGAGGACTCATTCCTTCGCTCTTTTTAATTTTCTTCGTTTTCTTAAATAAAACAAAGATATCCGTTTGTGTGCTCGAGCGAAATGTACATGTCATTCTTAAAGCGACGATCGGATGTTAATTATAATTACATATGTTTTAAATATCGAAAATAAAAGCGCAAATAAGCAATCGTTCTCCTTCGAATCATTTACGAGTCTTTGCGTAACTCTTATTATATTCGCCGATGAAGAATATTCCACTGTATTAGCAAAACATTGTTAAAACGTTAATTCGAAGCAATATACTTTACAACGATACTGTCCTATCTGATATCTCTAGCTAGATAGACTAATTATAAGATATCTAACTAAGATGGACTAATTATAAGAAAAAAAAAACAAAAAATGATCAGTTAAATAAAATTATGATTCAGTAAATGTGACGTGAAAGAAATCATTGTGCTCCCGCGTAAATCTTTTTATCGCAGACATTCGATCCGTCTGTATGTACAGCAAGAAGCGATCGGAAAACAGACTGTTAAGCCTGACGAGACCTCGTTAAACTGTAACGCCAAGTGTCATTCCGATAACCCAACTCGGCTTTTACCATCTCACGACAGAGGTCGATAAAGAAATGCAAAGAACGGGGAGACTCTGGTTAATGTCGTATATACTCAGGAAGCCGCACAAGCGAGGGATTTAACTCTCGTCTGCTGCACTTGAAAAGTTACAATGACGCGCCATGATTTGTGAGTCATCGCATTGCCGGTCAAACGGAAAACCTTAGTTGCACGCTACGCTCTTGACGAAATCGCTCATTCTTCCATCCGCTCGATCTTTATGACACCTACAATTGTCACGCGATCGCCAATTCAACTATGATGGCACGTACCCGTCAGCGAGCAGCGAAAAAGGGAAAAATTCGAAAAATCTCTAAAACTGATATTATTCCGGTAATCTTGATCTTACCAACTGATTATCATATTTGCGATTTTTTGTGAAAAATATTTATCTTGATTTTTAATAAAAATGTTTCGTATTCCTTCAAAATGCTTGTCTTCGCTTTGCATTTCCTGCAGGCAATAACCCATTTATTCGCTCGTACTATTTTCACGATATTTTCGTATATAAATGACAAAGATATTTCTCGATCGGGGAAAAGAGGAAAAAGATGCGTTGGATTTTTCCGCTAACGAGAACTCCGACTCCAGGTCGCCGGCGCCGTCTGAAGGAGAACGTCGTCTCTCTCTCTCTCGCTCTCTCACCATTCGGCGCCGTCAAAGCCCGGTTACGTCCGAATCGTCGTCGACGCGGGACGAGGGGCATCGTTTCTCGAAATATACATATTTTGTATATAAAAGCGTACGCGGAGAAAAGTCGGCGTGTTGTTCTTCCAATAAATCGGACAACTTTAGGAGCGCGCGGTGACTCCCGTTAGGTCCCGCCTGCGTGCACTGTCGTTTCGCGAAAAAGGGGGACTCACGCCAAAGGCGCGAGAGGCGAGAATAAATTGCTTCGCGACAGCATGCAGGAGCGGTGTGGGATTCGCGGCCACGAGTAAACGGCGTCGATGATGGAATTAAAATAGATACCAGGAATAAATTGTCGAACCGGCCACGGCGCGACGCTCTTTCAGTGGGAGGCGCTAAAGTTAGCGAGCCCACGCGAGTAGGTAGCCGCGAAGAGGAGTTTCGCGGCACAGCTTCCTCCTTCGAATTCACACTTCCAAATAGTCCTTCCAACCGATAAGACGAGAAGAATCCGTTCCAGCGGAGAATCGCGAGAGTTGTATTACAATTATGGCTCGCAGTCCTTCTACCGGCAACGTGGCGCCCGACGAGCGATAAACGCATGCTTTGGTTTCGCGATCCAATATAAACGCTCTTCGTAAACCTTGGAAGGAAGAGATGCCCGCTCGTCGATCGATAATCGGTCGATCGTTAGCCGGATATCTCCTCGTGGGGTGCATCGTGTCGCTGTCAATGAGTGTCGCGCAAGTCGAAGGTAAGCCGGTAAGCGAGCCACTAATTGTCACCCGCGCTGCAGGCCACTCTAATTGGCGCAAAGGGACGCTCGTTAATGACGCGCGGAGAAGCGCCGTTAATTAAATGTCCTTTCCATTTAAGTGTGCCTCACTGAATTATTTCATTCCAACAATTCGCGGTAACGTACGGAGGTAAAACTGTAATTGTGAGCCGTACATACTATGTGTGTTATATTGTAGAAAAGAATGAGATAATCGACAAGTGCTCCAAATTTTCCATTTCCTCAAGTAGTAATCAAAGATCAAGTTTTATCATTAATTTTTGAAATGCAATTTTTATTTTTCATAAATTAGCAACGTATCGTTGCGAAACTTTCCAAGAACCATAAATTATTGCAAGTATAAATATTTGTCGACTTGCATATTTGAATTATGAATTCAGACTCCTTTGAATGTTCGTTACATAAATGTTATATGTTTTGTAGGCAGAAAGTGCGTGTGTACGAGCAAAGCCTGCAAAGAAGCCGGCATAGATACTTGTAGAACGAGATTCTTCTGCTATACCGAACTTATCGTGACAACGGGACGAGAAATCGGTGAAAGTACGATCACGAGAGGATGCACGGAGTATGTATATAATCATCATTTTAATGTTTAACGAAAGTTATGAATAAGTAAATATCAATTTTATATAATACATTGGTGTATTTAAGGCATTCTTCTGTGTGTCACATATAAAATTTACAAGCAAATTATATAATAACAATACTTATGTACAGATTTCTGTACATCAACCGTGATAATTTTCCTCTGTGATAAAATCAACCTCATTTTTATCAAAAAGAGAGAAAACCTTCTGCAAAACATGTATTTTTTTCGTCTTAAACGAATTAAAATGCCAAAAGGTAAGACGTTCTCTTCATGAACAGGATTTTATTTGTCATTTTGTATAACGATTTCATCAACAGTGTAATATAAATTCAGGAATGTATCATGGCGTGCGAATATATGTATACCCAACCTTGACGAGGTAATCGAACGAAAAGGTTTCCGCGATTTTTATTAAATGCCATGCATTAATAAATTACCATGATCACCTTAAACGTGGCAGTTACGACAAGGATTCGTTCAACAAAATCCGGATATTATGTTAATAAGACATGTGGTATTCATTTTCTGCATACAAGTTTTTGCAAAAGGTTTTTTTGTTATTCAATTTGAGATTGTCACAAAAATTAATTCATACATTTCCATTTTAATCGATATACGTAATAATTTCAAATATATATACACATACAGTCAGTGGCACAAAAGCGTGTTGTCAATAATTTTCTGAAAAAAAAAACCGGATATACTGAAAAAATAAAGTTAAATTAAAAAAATACTTTACGTGCATTAAAATATCTTTATATACTTATTGTCGGTATGGCATTCAATCGCTATTATTATTAATTATAGCTTACATGATCATTTTACATGACATTTTCGGTTAGAATTTTAATTGGATAAAAACCTCCAAACTTTTCCGAATGCCAAAATATAATTGTTCCTAAATAAATATTCTTGTTTCTCAAAGCCTCATCTTCATAATTGACCAAATTTTAAATCGAATTTGCGTCTGTAGATTAGAAAAGTCCATCTATCGATGTCATTTTTACATTTGTGAAAATCTCTTGTAAAAAGAGCATGATTCATGGAAAACATGACAAGCTATAATTATTAATAATAGTAATTGGACGTCATAAGTAAAGACATTTTAGCGCACATATAATGTACTTTTCAAATTGAATTTTAATATACTCGGTTTATTTCAAAGGACCACTGACTACGTACGTCTCTCTTGTGTCACTGAGATTTTATCTGTATTGAAATGTACTTTTTAAACTCTCCTGTAAATATATTCCTCGTTCGAGGAAAATATAAATAATTGATGGTACAACCCATTGTATTGTAATCTCGACGAGATATGTTTGCAACTCGAAAAATTGCAAGATCGCAAAAGTTGTATATTGCCTTTCGTGCGATAGTTCAATGACATTGTTAGGCATCGCGTATAAGCGCCACTGCGTTTTAGCTATCGGCAACGCGGCCGGCGGCGACGACGGGTGAGTTCACGGAACTTTATCAATTGATGTTCGCAATATCACACGCAGGGGTGCCACGCCATTGTTGTGCGAAACAAAGTCCTGGGTCACGAGGTCGCGTTCGGTCAACGCCATGGAACTGTCGACAAGTCCTCGGGTTCTCGTGCCCTGGCCCAGATTGAAATGTTGCAACAGTCATGACTACTGCAACGCTAATGACGACGACGACGACGACGAGAATGCAAGCACGCACGAAAGAAAGACTCAGATTGATCGGACGTATTCTACGGTAAATCGCGAAACGCCGATGGACCATCTAACGTCAACGAATCGTTATACAATGTTACAACCTGATCGAAAGTATAAGGACTCGATCGAATCATCCAATCGACTTCTCCAGAATCGCATCAAAGCGCTTCATATCGCCGCTCTTGTCCTTGCTGTCGCAGTCCTTATATCCGTCCTTGCGTCTTGTTATGTGATTACAAGGTTCGTATATATATGTTTTTTCTCACATTTGTGTATACATAAATTAATTCTTTATTCACACAATTGATTCTAGAAAATCTGATATATATCTCGCGAAAAGAAATTATAATATTGAATTGTTATACTTTCTTAAATTTATCTATACATTAAATATGAAAAAAAAATGTTAAATAAAATATGCGTACGTGTTGGAATTTTAACGTCACATAAAACTAAAAGGAAAAAAAAGAAAAGGAAACGATTTTTACTGCAAGGTGAAATAAATAAAAGTTCTCATCGGAATACGTGTGTGTCACAGAGTGCGAAGAGACGATACATTATTAACGCTACGAGGTTTTATATGCCGTCTTCAATTAACATTGGATATAATTAACGATCGAAGATAAATCTATTCGAAAGTAGCCTTGGTAGAACGCAGGGACCACCCTGTGTAACAGATCATGAACATCGAGGCCATACGGCGAGCGTATTCATTTATAGTAGCCACCTACACGACGCAGGACTCGTTTTTCTCACGTAGAACAGCAAATTATTTCTCGATTTCTCAAATAGCAAATCCGCAATACACTTCTCTTATCAATATTATTAATTTGCGTATATATCACGTTTGACCACACACACACACACACACACGCATGCGCGAGAGATTGTGGTTTTATAAATTGCACTTAGTAGTTGCTTCGCGAATGGGGAACTCCTCTGCGGTCTAATTGACAGCATTCCTGCATTTAGGCCTGTTCCTTATTATCTATCCAGTTTCCTTTTTTCCTCGGCCATTCGACCGCACTACCTCGGGGTAGTTTGTCGCGATACACTAAAAGCCGCCCTCTTATCAGTCTACCTCTCGACGAGGGGCCGATCCCCAGGCTTCAGTCCTGAAAACCGTAGATAGCATAGCTTGGAGGCTTCTCACAGACCTGCCCTCTAATCTTCATTCTCCGAATGGTTAAGTGGGTTTTCGAGTTCGGGAATGTTTCGGTCTCGACCCATCTCATATGCACCTTTAGTAAACGCGCGCATCGTTAGTCTTTTATTCTTTTTACCTCGGAGTGGATGGCATCGTGCGCGGCCTCCACAATTCGTCTTTATCATCTCTCGATTTCTTCGCATTTTACACAATAAAAGTGACCGAAGAGAATCCTTAACTCTCATTTTTTTTTTTTCGAAGAACGCTTTATTCAATCGTTATTCAATCGTGCAATTTGGACTTGCATTCATTTATCGTAAGATGTAACCGTGGTTATACCCTTGTTACAAATTTCAATTTGAGAATATGTGATGAAAGATGAATACTATTATGATATATAAAAAATATTTGTTTTTTTTTTTTTCAATATGAGAATGTGATAGAATATTATGTCAATGTGATGTCAAGCTTTTTCTATATATTACGATATTTAAATTGGAATCCATCGAAAATTACATCATCGTTCTCCTACCAATAGAAACATTGATTTTGACGTGTAATTTAAACAAGTGTCACTATAAGTTCTCAAATAATTGATTCCTTTCATCATTGTACCGCGATAACGATCGTTTCGATTCCACGCCTTTTGTGCCGAAGAATTGTTTTCCATCGCATCGTTCACGGTTTCTATCCTTGATGAGACGTATATCCGAATAAACCTGTAGGGAGTTGGGACAAGATCCGGTTTTAAGTGGATCGGAATCTCCGGCATCGTGTGTATCGAATTGATTTTTGATCGTGATTTATACACAGGAAACTCAACGAGTTACCTAAGGCTACCGTAACGAAACCATTTTTAATCAGATATCAATTTGTGAACACGCATTATTTACTTTTTATCAGACGCATGATCTAATATATCAATAAATCATAAATATATCCATCTATAATTTACGGCGCAATTTACGAGAATAAATTGTGTATTGACAGATTCTGTAAAACGATAAGAATTCTAATAATAAACATATTATATTATAGATTCCTCAGAAGTGATCGTTATGTAATGGGGACGGTAAACTGTTCGTGATGCCGAAAAACTTACACAATATATAAGTGCATTGCGATTCGAAAGAATTGTGACATATTTCCTGAAGCGGAATAAGTTAAGACATAGGTAAAGTATCACTATCATATATCTCATTAAACAGGATATAAATAGACGCAAACTTGGAATTATGAATACAGTAGGAATAAATATTATGCGTATTGCGCGGGATGTAATTATAATGTCTTTTATTCAGAATAGATCTCTTAAATGTATCTATACTTGTTTGCGCTCAGGGATACACATAATTCTCGTCTCGATCGTATGCCGCTGATCGACTAACGAACGGAAAATATAAATAGAAACCGACCGTGCGGGAGATAACTGCCGCCGACAGGCAGGCCGAGAGTCGTGTATTAAAGCGATTTTTTGTTACGTTCGCTGGATAGCTTTCAAGTTCCAGGCAGTAGCGCCGGCACGGCTGTCGGATCGCGAGCGATCGAATATCGGCGCGCTAATAATATTATCTCAGCGGACACTATTAACCCTTGACAAGTCGAGACGATAAAACTGTAACATCGCTGAATCTTAGATCGAAATTATAGACGCAGCTGTCAAATTTGCTTTAATCCGTATTTTGTAACAGGAGGCGTTAATTACGATATATTCGGATAAATTATACACCATACTCGAAAAAGAATCGTTGTAATTATATCCGCGCGCGAAGTTACAGGAATTCGATATCCAAGATCTCTGTAAATTTTTCAAAATCTTTGAAAATTTCACAATTCTATAAAAACATAAAGAGATCAAATCTATAAACAAATGTAAAGTTAACGGCAATGTGAGCCAACGCCCGTTGGTTCGTGTGAATTATAAGTATAACTTTATTAAAAATTATACAACAATATAAATAGACGTCTTTCGTTCAGGTCCTCGTCAGTGTAAATTGAATCGAAGTAAAAAAAGAATTGAAAACTTGCAAATTTTATTCGCACATTCCTCTTCTATCTACTATTTACGCGAAAACGCATAGCCCTTGCCGATGCCACTCCAAACGCGAGTAACAAAAGATATATTCTAACTTTATTTAGGAATAACTAGATACCGCGGGAAGAAGTTACGGAAAACGACGTGGGTCACCCCGATCACCCGTCGTGACCAAAACGACTTGGAGATGCAAGATCCGACGTATTTGACGAAGCTATGCCCGAAGAGTAAATCAACCACCACGCTGCTGGACGCATCCTTTGTTTTATATCGTACGACTAACGGTGGGCCATGTAGCTCAAATTCCCCGGTGAGAGCCCCTCGGCCGAGGGGCGGTCGGCGTGCCAGGTGCCCCGGCAGCTTCCCTCCCACCCTCCCCCCCACCCCCCCGGGCTCGGCCCCAGGTCCGGCTGTTTCAACGTAATTAGTCATCCTCCAGGTTGCCGAACACACACGCACACACGTACTCATCTTGCCGATCAAAGAGGAATAACGTATGTGCGCGCCGAAAGTCCTACACGCCCTAAGAACGCTTGGTCATCATGAGAGAGAGAGAGAGAGAGAGAGAGAGAGAGAGAAGTTCCATCCAACACAAATAAACGAGTTGACGAAGAGAGAGACGCGGTGGCGTCGCGACGAGTACAGTGAATATCCTCCTCTATAAAAGTTGTGCTTGCGCCAAATTGTCTCGATGTGTGCGCGCTGTATTTGAAGAATACATCAGGAAAAGAATATCGTGCGTATTTCAAGACACATATATCAGTTAATCGCTGCGGTTTACAATTAATAATGCAAGAGGTGTGTATATATAAATAAGAAAATCGAGATACGCAATTTTTTGCGAATCTTGTATGTGAGTCTAATTAAGGCATAACGATACGTATATATTATTGTAACATAAATTGTATATGAAAAATTGATAATTGAATTACACGCGTGCAGGCAACGTGTGTGTGTGTGTATATCGTGTAGGAGTGAAAAAAAGTTCTGCCGGTTCTGTCTAACGATCGACGGGAAAAAAAGCAGACACGTACGGTGCGTCGCGTCGCGTCGCGTCGCGTCGATCGCACCACTTTGGCGTCAGGAGGCTCAGGCGCCATCGTCCCCTTCCGCGCGCCGCAATTCTCACCGACTTTCCGCTGACAAATCGCACCCACACACTATATTCCGCGCTCGTTCGCGCTATACTTGCGCGGCACGGCCATGTGCCTGTGTGTGTGTGTGTGTGTGTGTACCGCGCTCGGATACATCGTTAATGCAGTAAGTAGCGTGCCACGTACGCTGTTCGACTTGGAAGAATCATTGAATTTCGATGCCAACCCGAGGTCTCTCGACACGTTATATGAAATATAGTACACGTGTGACTAATATTTCCGCTCCTGAAAGTTTTCGAAGTCCATTCGGTTCCAAAGGCGAGCGCCCGGAATACTCTGCGAATTCTGTGAACGGTAGGACCTTAAGGTCCAGCTTTACAATTTTCACGGTTATTAGCTCATTTCTCATTTTTTTTTTTTTCTAATTTTATAGAATTAATGCCTCTGTTTCCACCAATGCAGATTAACTTTAATCTCGGTTCAACTTACTGTTAATCTTTTAATTCTAATAATTTTTAGAATTAGAAAAAGATGAAAAGCGAATTGAACCGAGATTAAAATTAATCTGCCATTGGTGGAAATGGGCATAAAAGGATCGAGACAAAAGTTAAACCCCGGTTAAGAGTGAATTATGAAACTGGGCGCTCGAGACGTTCTTTTGCGTTTTCGGCACGCAGCGTAAACAGCTGTCTGGAAAGTTGCAGTCTCGTTCTCGAGAGTCTAGAGAAATAATTGGCCGAGTGCGGCTGCTGCATCTCCGTGTGTAAACCATGTAAGTCGGAGTAATATAACGAGCGTGGCTTTTCTCTAAAACCCATTTGAAGCGAGCACTCTCGGATCGTTCGGGTGCCGGCGGGTGCAGCCGGGTGCGCGCCGAGCGTGGCTCCGTGGTGGCCGGTCACCGCGCCGACGCGGCGCGACGCGACGTCGGGTCGGGCCGAGCGCCGGGACTGTTGCGAGGTCTGCTCTGCGAGCAATCAGTAGAGGTGAGTCAGTCGGCCGCTGGATATCGTCCGAGTAGCTTGTCGCGCGTCGACGCTCCGTTTCCGTGCGCCTCTCACACACCGGCCGCTTCTTCCGCCGAACTCCGTTTCCGTGCTCCTCTGTGATGCGCGATTATCGCGGTAATCGGATCCGTCGTTCGTAAACACAGTCAACGATGATCATTTCGACGCTCTAAAATCCCGGGGGGAAAACACATGCCCGATTTTTCGAAATCCACCGTCCTGACGACGAACACGCCGCCGGGTCACAGCAACGATCCGCGCTTCAGAGACTCTCCACGTGGCCGACTGACTGACTCGTGATCGCCGTGATCGGCATTCAATTTAATACCGAATTGATCGCGTTCGGGATGCTACAACGCGACGTGCTGACTATTATCGCGATGGTGACGACAAGTCTCGTCGTCGTTGTCACCAGCGGTGCGCCCACGAATTCAGACGCAGAGGATTACGAGATGCTCGCCGACAAAGACGCGCAATCTACCGACAAAGGTAAACATTCTAAAGCCGGAAAATCTGGCTACGCCGTTAAAAATTGAGATTTGGCCAATTGGAATAATAGAAGCTAAAAGTCCTTCATTCTCTCATTGGTCAAATTTCAATCTTCAATCCCAATCTTCAATGCGTATAGTTTGATTCTAAATGAATGCTGTACTTTTAAAATCTATGTACGTACAAACGCAAGTTATGTATAACTTATTTACTCCTCATTGTGCGATTTTTTCACCATTCTAAATAAATTGCGTGCCGCTTTTTCGTCTCGTACGCGTAACTTATTTTCTAGAGTAGAGATCTAAAAACAAATTAAATCAACACGGTAAAGAAGAAACGTTACAAAGCGAGAGACAGAGGTAGGGAGAGAGATATTTTGACACGATGAATTCTTCAACGATTACTCGGTCTGTCACTTTCGAGGGAGATGCGTCGGTCTCCTTTCTCATTATTTAATACGGATAAATAATAGCGTTTTAATACATCCATTACGTTGCTAGGATAAAAGCGCCATGTACTTGCGTGCGAATGATCGCAGGAAACACGGCGCGTGCACGTGCTCGGCATGCTTGTTTTACTAATTCTCGTGAATTTAGTAAGAAAGAACAGTGGCGCTGTCGCAATAATTCATTCAATTATTCACATCTGCGATATAATCTCGTGATAAAGGTTTTAAACCAAGAGTATAACGGAACCTTTCGCAATTCGACAGCTCACGATCGATCGCGCGAAATATTAATTGAGCTTCGTAATTGCGCGACGAACAAATTTGTTTTAAGATAAAAAGAAAAACCCGTTAAAAGATGCGCGCGCATATAAATATTCATAAGGACACATCTGCGCGTAATTATATTGTTTCATTGACTCTCGTCGAAGCCGTTTCTTCGTAAATTCGACGGAACGCGAGGTTTCAAAAAGTCGAATCGCTCGCGTAAGCGCGATGTATGCCGCCCAAAAATACCCAAAGGCGCCAAAGGATTTGTCGAGAAACAATTTAGTTGCAAACAAACAAAGGCTATTACGCGACAGCGTAAACTATCTCGAAAGGGGTCGGTCGTTCGTGGAATGCCCGACGCGAGAGAGCAATATAAAATCGTTTACTCGAATCGAGAGCGCGAGCGAGCGAGGAGCGCGGGGCGAACGTTCGACGCGGCGCTACGTTCAAATGATTCATCGATCGTTAGATTTACATCCGCGCGAGAAAGGCGCCCTGCTATGTAACATCGGGCTCCTCTTCTACTCCCTCCCGCGTGTCTTCTGCATTTTTTTTTTACAAAGAACCGCATTTAATGTAATAATTGTCAACGCGCGCGCATATGCGTACGTTTTCTTTGGGTGTAATTGAGCGATCGTATGGGTAATTTAATAACGCGTGATTAACGTCATTTTCCACATAATTTATTTACGTGCGACTTCGTCCTCTCTCTCTCTCTCTCTCTCTCTCTCTCTCTCTCTCTCTCGCGAATATTCACGCGCGAGTGCGCACCTGTGTGGAAGAAACGAGGCACGGGATGCGAGCTAATGATTGAAAAATTTTCGTCGTTCGCACGATAGTGAGACTAGAAAGACGATAAAACTCATGACGGGCGCCAGCTAGGCGCGCGGATAGTGGAGTACGTAGCTCGTTATACCTATATGCATGATAAATACCGACACGCTTGTTGCACGCGTAGCGTGCACGTTGTTGCATCACGTCCGCGTGTCGTATTCTTAGTTTCTTTCTGGATAATCCTAAAGTCCTGTACGAGAGAACTTGAACCTGGCTCACGGACGCGATCGTTTTATTTTTTCTGAGATTTAACATCGAAATTTCACCGACCCCGTTTAGTAAAGAAAATCTTTTCTCAAGAAAAAAGGAATGCGTTCCGTTTAATTATAATATAAACTCACAATTAGACGATCGTCGATTCTACGTAACTATATTTCATTTGCCGGTTATAGTTATAGCTTTTTGATCGCATCTTCGATCAAAACTGCAATTCTCGATACCGCGAGATCGGTAATCCAAATCGACGAATCGTTCGTTCAATTATCCGCATATAACGACAGTATAACGGCATTATCTTATAAAGTGTCAATTTTGTGGCTTAACTATAACTATAATATATACCTAAGTCAAATTGTGATCGAGCCTTGTAGATTCCGTAATGCACGCAAGAGACCGATCCATTTTCGAATAAGATGTAATACCCAACGATCGTTTCATCTTTGTTTAACGTTGGCAAACAACGAGGATGTAAATGGCTGAATCTCCCGCTGGAGAACATCCTGATTGTGAGCCACGGTCGCTCGAAAAAAATCGCAAAAGATTGAAAAATAACGCACACACACACATTCTCTGTTATCTTCTTTTTTTTTTTTTAATTCATTAAACAAAGTCGTGAGCTCGGAGATAATAATGATGAATGTCTCGAAATTCCGACAACAGGCGATATCTGTCTCTTATTTTCCGTCACAGATTTCAGACCGCGGGAGCGAAATGGTAGTTTCACGATATCGAGAGAAAGAGAGTCCTACTAATTATACGTTCTGCATTAATTATACCGATTGCAATTCAAATCGAAGTATATATAGATATATACTGTAATTGCACGTTACGTTGAGAAAGATAAACGCGCAAAGGGGGACCCGAGTTCGTCGATGACATTGTATCTTTTGTAGACGATTGGTCGAAAATTTCGTTCAAATCGTATATATACAGTTTCGATCTGCACCGTTACTCATCATTACGTCGTCGCCGTCGCCGGCTCGCCGCCGCTGCCGTTGTCTTTCGAGTGGCGAGTGGCGCGACACGACGAAAAATGCGAGCTCATCGACGCCAACGACGAAAGCGGAGCGTTGTGCACGCATACGCCTGGCTGATCACTCACACGCACACCCGCCCGCACATACTCTCCTCGTAAGTATCCGTGTGTGGCGCGCTGCTGCGGTGCGGAGACTACAGCTGGCGCACGCACGCACGCACGCACGCACGCACGCACGCACGCACACAGCCTCGGCTCGGTGGCGCCTGTCGGCCACACGGATGTGCATGCGTGCGTGACGAGTTTGTACCTCTTTGGCTATGTACGTCCCATACATAAATACTTGGCGTATAGTCGCGTGTTCGCATATGCGGTGTCCCACGAAGCGATCGCTATATGCCCGGATTCGTTAACGACGCGGTTTACCCTGCCTTCGCGGAATTCGCTCAAGGATGCGAGAAGAGATCTCCGGCGCGTTGCTTTTTTAAACTCTGTTTAATTTCTCGTTAATATATCGATATACGAGTCGACGATCTTTCCCGCGCCTAAATTATACGGCGCTATGTGTGTGTGTGTGTGTGTTAAAAAGTGTGACGCGCGTTATGCGTGCGTGAAACGCAGGTTTTACGAGTTTCTGCACGCTGCCCGGCTGCCGCGATACTTTTGCGATCTCAAACGCTTCTTTATCGCGTCTACATTTTGCAAATAGCGTGGCGTTACAGAAGTGACGTTATCGCTGCCCCGTAAAGTAACGTCCCAAACGCCATCACATGCACGCACAACGCGTGTGAAAAATGTATATATAACGCGACGGGCGATAGTTGACGTATACTTGTCTTATATGTATATTCCGATCTTTTTACCATGACGTATATGACATGTGCAAAATGCACTGCAGGCCGAACAAGCAACTTGCTCTTTTCGCAAAACGAAACACGCGCACATCTATCTTCAGGCAGAGAGAGAGAGACCGGTTTGCGCGCATGTTTTGTATATACGTATATTACAGCCGAGCCGATCGACGTTGGAATTGTACATTCCTACCATTAATTAAATGGCCTACTGTTAATTAAGACGGTGGAATTATATGACGGACGTAAAAGCGTATGCTGACTGACTAAAAGTCACCGCGTGAAGTAATACAGGCGCTTTCGCCTCGCCATTGCGAACCGCATCCAGATTGAGCAAAAACAACTCGACGCGTAAACTGTACATAAAGTTAACGACTCGTTCGATGGCCGCTGATGCAAGTTTTCCGTGTGGAGTGTTTCTTATTCGACATCAAGAGACACGACGATGCGTCAATGCTATCGTTCATTGAAAATTTCCTTCTACCATCGAAAAGATTTTCGGAGATTTAACGCTATTTATGTACTCTTCGTTCTACATAAAGTAGGGTCGATGTAGGGACAATTATATTTATCGTTACAAAGGAATATTTTAATATTCTTCTTCAACGGAATTACTTTATAAATCTATAAAATAAAATAATCTTAGACATCGGTTTTGTGTGAAATATTATAGCATCGTGCATTGTAACATCAAGATTTATTCAAAATAAGAATATATTAATTTAAATTTATATGTATTTTTTATACTCTTGTCTCAAAAGAAGAAGTTGATCTCATTTAATTGGAGAGATGTATAAGAATCGGAATTATTGGATTTTTATCTCAATATTGTTTTATTATTTTTGTATTACATAAAGAGTTACGATGATAAAATTAAGTACATCGAGAATATTTTTTATCTCGTTGTTTCAGGATCTTTTCTGAAAGAGAGAAAGTATATATAGTTTCGATGATCGTTTAAAGATAACAAAAATTTATACATTTGATCGCTTCGCCGCGGCTTTGTCTTTGTAAAGCGAATACGACAGATCTTTCGACATGCTAATTCATGCGATCTCGTTCATTCTTGCAACAGTATTGTTTCAAATCAATTGGATTCATAGAGCCTTACGGACTATTCGACTAATTCGACTAATTGCTACATGCATGCGGTTGCGACGAAAGAACTCGATCTCATAAATTAATTTGACAAACTTAGGATTGTCTGAGAATTATATTCTTGTTTCTCACTTACTCTTTGCACGAGGATTTGGCAAAAATGTAGTAAAGAGCACGAACTTGTCTATTATCAGATACATGTTTGTATGTGTAGCATCGCGCAAGTACATAACTTATCCCAATTTAACATTCATGGCAACGCTCTGCGGTCTTTCGCTTTTATTATGTAAAAATTATACACGCGCAC